CCCACCAAATGCCCAACATTTTAAGGACTCTATTTTCTTCAACAATTTAATTATTCTTCAAAAAATTCACACAAACCCAAAAGGAACTAATGTGCTGCATTACTTTTTTTTACGCAAAACAACGTTGAAATTTATGCTCCAAAACTATAAAAAAAAATACTCTTTTTTTGGTCGAAAAAGAAAGTACGTTTTCTACATCATGAAAAGAAAATACTCATTTTGTTGAAATGAAAGAAAATACTTTTTCTACATNGATAGGGAAAATATTTTCCTCCAATTGGAGAAAAATAAGTTGTTGAGGAAAATATTTTCTAAAATATTTAAACCAACCAAACATGAAAAAATTGGAAAACATTTTCCTTCATACTAAACAACCCTGAATGTCTTCTATTTCTCTAGTAAAGAGTATTTGTGGATCCTAAAAATACTAGGCTCTCTATTTACAGGCACAAACTTCTTTCTTTTTTCTTTTTCTTTTTTTTATTTGCTTATCTTAACATAAAAATTTATATACTCTAATAACATGTTTGGCCAAACTTCTAAAATCTGCTTATTTTCAAAAGAGCTTGTGATGACCCGATAGATCATCTAGAGTTCTAATCTTTAATTTTGTACTCTGAAACCTCAAAAAGTTCCTTTTAGCCTTTTTCGATTTGCGTGCGCAGTCTGAGTCCTTTTCCGGAAGGCTCTTATGTGAAATATTGATTAAAATATGAATCTGTGCCTTAAAAATCTATTTGAGTTGACTTCGGTCAAAGTTTTAAGCAAACGAGTCGAATCCGTATTTTGGCGGTCCCGGTGGGTCCGTGTCTTGATTTGATACTTTGGCGTATGCGCGGAATCGAATTCGGAAGTCCCTAGATCGAGTTATCACAATTTGTTGAAAATTTGAAGTTTAAAGGTTTAAAGAGTTTATGAATATGACCAAAATTTGACTTTATTTTTACTAGGTCCGGAATTTTGGTCCCGGAGCTTGGTATAGGTTCATTACTATATTTATGACTTGTCTGCAAAGTTTGGTGTAAAACGGAGTTGATTTGACGTGATTCGGACGTCCAGTTGTTAGAATGCAAATTCTTAAGTTTCATTGAAAATTTCATTCGTTTTGGAGCTTGATTCGTAGTTCTAGGTGTTATTTTGGTGTTTTGATCACACGAACAAGTTCGTATGATATTTTCGGACTTGTGTACATATTTGTTTTGGAGCTCCGATGGCTCGGATGAGTTTCAGATAGGCTACGGAGTGAATTTGGACTTAGAATCATAGCTGATGCCTTTTGCTTCTGGTTTCTGTTGCAGATCTCGCATTTACAAGCCTCACATTTGCGAACAAGGCTTCGCATTTACGAGCATGGGCAGGCTGGGTGATCCTCGCATTTGCAAGGTAAAAGTTTGCATTTGCGAACTTGCTGATTCCGCTTTTGCAAAGGCAGAGTCGCATTTGCGACTCAACATGGTTGTTGACAGTCTTCACATTTGCGAAGAAATGGTCCGCAGTTGCGAGAGCTGGGGGGTGGAGGGGTCACATTTGTGACCAAAAACATCGCATTTGCGATGACTGGGCTTCTGAGAGAAGTTCGCATTTGCGACCTCTTTCTCGCAATTGGGAATAATATATCGCAATTGCGACATCCGCAGCTGGGTAAAAACTGAGATAGACGGGATTTTTCAAATTTTCAACACTAAAAATCTTAGAGGCGATTTTTCCCGGAGCTTTTCTTCCTCAATTTATTGGTAAGTGACTCTAACCTACATTCTTTCAATTACCTACTACATTTCATAAGATTTCAACCTTAAATCTAGGATTTTTATGGTAGAAATTGAAAATTTGGGTAGAATTGGAGATTTTTGTAAAATTAGAATGTAGACCTCGAATTGAGGTCGGATTTCGAAATAAATTACATAATCGAGCTCGGAGGTGAATGGGTAATCGGGTTTTGGTCTGAACCTCGGGTTTTGACCAAGCGGGCATGGGGTTTACTTTTTTTGACTTTTTGGAAAAAGTATAAAAATTCTATCTTTATGTATTGTAATTAACTCCCTTATCATTATTTGGCGCTATCGAGTCAATTGTGGTTAGATACGGTTGGCTTGGAGGCGGCTTCTAGAGGAAAGGCCCTGGTAGAGCTCTGAATTGACTGCGGAGTAGGGTAAGTGTCGTGGTTCACCTTAACTTAAGGGATTAGGACTTGTTTGCCTATTTGCTACATGTTTAAATGTGTGGATACAACGTATATGTGAGGTGACGAGTACTTATGCGTTATTATTGGGTTAAAGCATGCGGGTGGGACTTGTTGCTTGTAATTTATTGCCGTCTTTACTCATAATGTCCATGCTTATATTAGTTTATTTATTATTTGATCGTTCTTCTCGCATTTATGAATTAAATTGTGATGGTTGAGTATTTCTTTGAAATTGAGGATTGGTATCTCCGAAAAATTATCGACGTAAGGTTTATTCTTGTTTATTTTTATATTCATTACTAAATAGTAAGGTAGAGTGTTAAAGCACGGAGGGTGATGTCGTGCCGTTATTTGTTTCATTTACTAATTAATACATGGTAAGAAAGAGAGTTAAAGCACGAAGGGTGATGTCATGCCATATTTATTGTTTCAAGTAGAGATCGAGAGTAAAAGTAAGAAGGGTGATGTCGTGCCATTATTATCATTTCATGGTGAGGCTGAGAGTAAAATCACGATGGGTGATGCTGTGACATCTTTATTCATTATGTTTATCCGTTTTCATTGGTTGAGGACTTATTTGACTATTTTATGTAGTCATTCGTGTTGTAATTGTCGTATCTTGTTCCCCATTTGCATGTCCCCTCCTAATTTTACATATTAATTCTTTATTTGTTACTATGTTGCACATATATCTTCGTTCGTACAAGTTTAATTTCGTGAGTGTCTTGTCATAGCCTCATCACTACCTCGTCGAGGTTAGGCTCGATACTTACGAAGTACATTGGGTCAGTTGTACTCATACTACACTCTGCACTTCTTGTGCAGATTTTGGTACTAGTCCCAGTTGTACGTGAGGTGTCGGATTGACCTATTTGGAGACTCAAGGTAGATCTGCTGGCGTCCGCATACCTTGAAGTCCCCTTCCTCTTTCCTCATTTACTGTTCATTTAATTCGAAACATTTGTATTTATTTTAGACTCTATGTGTATAACCTCTAGAAGCTTGTAAGCTTGTGACTCCAGATCCGAGTTGTATTTAGATATGCTGGTTATTATGCTACTTCACACTTTATTTTAGTTTTATCTTAGTTTAATTAGTTTATTTATTTGAATTGTTTAAAAATTGGTTTAAGAATTTCTCTAACGTTGGCTTGCCTAGCGAGTGAAATGTTAGGCGCCATCACGGTCCCGAAGGTAGAATTTCGGGTCGTGACAAGTTGGTATCAGAGCCCTAGATTGCCTAGGTCTCACGAGTCACGAGCAGGCTTAGTAGAGTCTGGAGGATCGGTACGGAGACGTCTGTACTTATCTTCTAGAGGCTATGGAGTTTAGGAACAATTTCACTCTTATTCTTCTCTGTCGTGCGGTTTTATTCTATCATTGATGATTGAATTCTTCTATTCTTGCTCTCTTGCAGATGGCGAGGACACGTACTGCATCTTTAGCTGGACAGCAGCCGGAGCCCCCAGTGGCGGCTCCTACGAGGGGCAGAGGTCGAGGCTGAGGTCGTGCCAGAGGCAGAGGCAGAGCTCAGCCTAGAGCTCAAGAAGCAGCACCAACAATGGAGCCTCAGGTGGATTTTGATGAGGAGGTTCCAGCTCAGATTGAACCTATTAGACCGGCTCAGATCCCGGAGGGATTCATTGCCACTCTAGTGCTCCAGGATGCTTTAGTCCGTTTGGTAGGCCTTATGGAGAGTGTGGCCCAGGACAGTACATTTTCGATGGCACCGACGTCTCTCAGAATAGGGGTATCACACACTCACGCTACTCACGCTACGGAGCAGATGACTCCCCAGTATCAGACTCCAGCAGCCCCGCCAGTTCGGGTAGTTCAGCCGGTTGTTACGGTACAGGCCAGTGATAGGCCCGCCATATCTTCTGAGGCTTTATTGAGATTGGACAAGTTTACTAAGCTCTTTCCAGTTCACTTCAGTGGTGTACCTTCTAAGGACCCACAGAATTATCTTGACCGCTGCCATGAGGTGCTGCGGAACATGGGTATAATTGAGACCAATGGGGTCGATTTTGCTGTGTTTCAGATGATGGGTTCCGCCAGGAGGTGGTGGAGAGATTA